AGCCAACCACGGTTCTACTTTTCTCCTTGTCACACACCCTCCATTCTATTCCGACTCTCCTCTTCCCTAGCTCAGGAACACAGAGGTCACGGTCATCTCCTTACACCCTCTCCCACACCAACTGAGCTCAGCGCCGGCAGTCGTCACTGATTAAGTGGCTGCAGACGTGACATAGCATTGATGGTGGTAAGGTTCCTCTCCTGGAGAACCTCACATTTTACTGGTGTGAAAGCAAAAGATGTACAAAGTATAAGATTAAAGACATAAAGGAAAGAGCAAGTGATTCTTCTTCGGGAAGCTGGACAGCAGGATAATGTTCATATGGGAAACAGCATCTAAACTTACTCTTAAGGAAAGAAGAAAGGATGTCTAGCAGTAAGGAAAGAACATTCTGGAGGCTTCTACTGTTATTCCAGCCTTCAGTGATCTCTCGTTTCTCTGGAAAATTCTATTTGTGTGCGTGGCTTAAAATATAAAAATCACATATTATCATTAATATGAATCTATTATCATAGTTTATTTGGGGGAAAAGAACAAATTAATATAAAGATGAACTGTATGCGGAGCCAATTATAACAATATATTTAGGGTCCAAAATATCAGTGTGAATCAGGGCCAAGAGTTGACTCCTACAACGACACCTAAGACCCATTCTAGTTGAGAATACAACTGTTTAGTCACAGTTCTATTGACCGGTGCATCATGAGTCCCGTGTGTGATTATCCTAAGCCCTTTACTGTGAACGGGAATGCTGGCTTTGCCTACTCCGTCCCAGCATCGGGCTAAATGTTCCATACAAAGGCAGAGTCATTGATTAACTGGAACACGGGTCCACCCAGACGGCCCAGACATGTTTGTCTGAACTATGGTTATTTCACTACAGAGAGAACATTTTTGGAATTGTCACAGAGGGTTTGTTTGAATAACAAAGAGCGTACAATCCTGAAAGCCTGCTTCCATCCCAAATCCCCCGTATGTCGTGTGCTAAAATGTTTCCAAAGAGAGACTCTTCTGGGAACATTCTTGTGGAGCTCTAAAAAGATTCAACATATTTTTTAAAGAATTCTGAATTCAAATATAGGATTTAAAAAAAATTCAGAACTATTTTTCTGTAAAAGAAGTTGCTGAAATAATTAGAAAACATTAAATCCACCTTTTCCTGATATCTGAAGAGTTTTTCAATCACCAGGAGAAGGCAAAACAAAAATGCGTAAGTTTAGGTAAGGTGAAAACCTTATTGCCCTGAGACAGCTCTGTGGAATCTTAGTGCTTCATGAATTACAGCCGGAATAACAATGATGCAATCGAAGCTTTTTGTCTTACAGATCAGACATCTGTGTGAGCTGCAGACGACAATAAAGTATGAACACCCGTGGTCCCTGATCTCAGAGTTCATGGGTTATGCCTCCATGTGACCTAATTATAGAGTCAGAAGACTATGATCTGTTATGAAAACAAACAAATCTGTAATAAAAAGGAGTTTTTGGTCATGGAGGTAAATATTTTTCAGTTGCGTGTTGCTGTAACCTACTACTCAGAAACCAGTAGCTACCTAAGATACAATGTATTTATCCCAAGTTCTCCCAAAGATGCCTGGCTTTTCCTCCTGGCCAGTGCTCTTACATATATAAATATCATGCAATACACGTGTTACTCAACAAGGAGGGATCATCTAAAATATGCAAAATTAAGTTTATCAACTTAATTCATAGTTTAATTGAAGTTCTGGGCTTCAGTCAAAAGACCTGATTTTGGGTCCTAGCTATAGCTCTTCCAGATGCGAAAGCCTCAGCAAACCATACAAAGATTTGGAGACTCAGTTTCTAACTGGTGAAGAAGAGGAAAAACAGCTCTTTACCAGGACCAAGAATTACCAAGGTGATAAAATCAGAAGGTATGCAAAAGTACACCATAAATACTAAAGGAGATATGAGTATCATGTATACGCACTTCGAAAACATTAGGATGTTCGATAAGCATATATTTACCTTCTGTTGACATTTTCTGATCCATTCATGTGTGTAGATTAATTATGGATTGAAACATTTGAATATGAATGTTTCCTTAAGTGATGCAATTAACTAGCAAGAGGCAATTAGAAAAGTCTTTGGAAGTCAACTGAAACTGTCTTTACCTCGTCTTAAGCTTTAATAATTGGCTCAAAACATTTTATAACCATTCATTATTTCCGAGCTGTCTTTTAGGGATGAATATCTGATTCAGGTATTCGATCACATTGTGGGAGCTTGGGATTTTTTAAACTTAATTACTTCGTGTTTAAACCCAAGAATTCAATGGGAAGTTAATAATATTAGGATTATATAGCCATCAGCACTGTCAATTCTGTATTACAAATATATTTTCCCATCTGGCAGTATGTTACAGATCTAGGACAATCTTGCAAGCAAAAATTGCACCCAGGGAGCATCTGTGTTTTTGTAGGTAGAGGCAAAGAGGGAAAACACACAGAAAAGATGATTACTCCTGTCAATTCAGTTATACTCAGAGCTAGATACCAATCATCACCAATATTTCGTCTACTGAAAAACTCAGAAAGTTTGTGCTGCTAGGTAAAAATAAATAAATAAATAAATGATTACAAGAAAGTAAAGAAAAGGAAAAAAGTCCATATAATTAGAAAGTGTCCATAAATAGATCACAGACCACAGATTCCAACTTTCCTAAAGTCACCCAGAGAAACAGGGAAGCAGCAAATGGTCCTGGAGCTATGCCAGCTACCAGGGAGAAACATAGGCTCACAACAGCCGTGTGACATTGCGGGGAGCTGAGAATAGCACATGGAACCAACCGCTTGTGATGAGGGAAGGTGGGCGTCATACACAGAGGAGGCCCCCTTCTCGTTGCAACCCGGCCACACGTTTGTAGGACCCATGGACCTTCTTAACTACTTTTTGGGAAAATAAAAGGCAAGTCAGAATTCTGGAAACAGTAAAGGAACTCCCTCCTTGATGATCAATCCCCTTGCTTGAAATTCCAGAAAGCATGAACTTACTTCTGGATATCTTCGGCACAACCACAGAATATAGGGGCAAGAGTTCATAAATGAAGAATTACTCCAGTTGGGAACAGAGAGAAAACAGAAAGCCAAGACTAGGATCAAAATGGGACACAAAGCAGAAGCTTCGCATGACAGTTTTTCTGCGAGAAGCTGAGGAAGAGTCCCATCGAGCTTAGTTACATCCAGACCTTGGTTGGTATTGGGGATGAGGACGTGGATGTGCCCAGTGACAGGGAAACACACAGGCCAATGCTTTCTTCTCTCTGGAGATGAACCGTAATTCGAGGCACAGTTTTCCAGATAAGCTAAGGCAACAGCAAAATCGCAGGAACAAGTCAAGTGTACCTGGAACTCCTCCTCAGTTCCAATAAACCCAGAAAGTTATCAAAGAGTTTCCAGACTGGTTTCCTTCTCAAGTATCCATATTCCTCTAAGCCCCTAAGATGAGTGTAATAGCTTGGAAGTGGGGATTAACGCCTCTGAGTAACAGAACAGAGACCACGTACGTACTGACGGGGAACTCAAAGCCAAAGGAAAAAGGAGATCACAACAGTGTACGTCTTTCCTGAAAGTTAGCAAAAGGATTTGTTTTACAAGACCTCTTTGAAACATGTTTCAAAGTGAAATTCTGAAAACTAAAATTCTAATTATAAAGTGATTTTAGAATGCCATCTGCTACTAATTTATTTTGCATACCATATAATTCATATATTGCTGTGTATGGAATCTCGTAAACGGTTATTTTCACAAAGATGAAAAATAGGTTTTCTCATGATGTCAGGTCTCTACTTCTATTTTTGTCTAAAGCCTTAGGGCCTGTCCCCTGTAATTTTTCCCACCAAGGGGGTTTGGGGTGATTAATCTTCCTTTGAGGCACCTGGATTAGCTCTGGGTCTGGATAATTACTATCACTTCCAGCCTCCTGCTTGCTTATCTGTCAAATAAAGAAATCAATCTCGATGATCACTAATACGCTTTCATGCTGAAAAAAATCCAAAATTTTATGTTTTTTGTCATGGTGCTGGCATTATCAGTATGTTTAAACATCAGATGAATGCAGGATTGGACTGTCTTCTACCTTTTAAGCATTTTAGTTCATTGATCACTTCATTTTAATTAGTGATCCACACCACAGAGCTGCATATTTTACTTTGCTTGTTTGGAACTAAAAATGTAGGAGATAACAGAGATGATATTGCACTTTTCTGTTTTTGAAAGCACTATCTCTTTCCCTCCTTTATTTTATACCTTTTTTGTCTTCTCCACACTCATCTCCAGACACCTTTTTTCTACAATGATGTGCATTATTAAGGGGGCACTACAGGACATTGCTTCAGTCAGTGCCTGTGACCAGAGCCTGGATCCAGCAGTTTGTGCACCCGCTATCTTCGGCAAATACTGGAATTTTTTATGTTTAGGACATCAGTGGTGCTAAGAGCGAGCTTGGTACACAGGGTTGTTTTATATTATGACATAGAACATGTGTATTTATACATACCCGTGACTATATATGTTACACACATGCAGTTTATGTTCTATAATATATAGATGCTAATATATCATGTTGATAGATAAATAGATATAATAGTGAAGTATTGACATAGTTAGGCGATCCAAGACTATTCCTGTTAATTACATCAAACATTCAGTCTAAATCTTTCAGATACACATATACGACTCTCTGTCATTGTGCACTACATCATACTCAGCATTTTCTTTTAAGCCCGGGAGCTTTTAAATGCCGTGACATTTTCTTTTCAGGTACAGCCATTATCTTATGAAAATATTAATACTTCCAAGACAATAAATCTCAAACTATCACTTCTGGAAACATGTCTCAATTAAGAATTAAACAGCAATCCGTAACACAGTAGAGAGACCAGAGAAGAGGGAAAAAATCAGTATTAAAAAAAAGCGCTAAGGCATAGACACATCCCAAAAAAATAAAATGAAGTGCAATGCTTTGTCCTATGCTACTTACTTGTATAGGTGAGCTGGAAGCCCTGGTCCGTGTCCGACCCGTTGGTGTTGAACTCAAGCCACAGGTGGTTAGATGTGCTATTGAGGACCAGCCCCATGAGCTCGTTCTTGGTGAAGGCTCCCAGCAGACGTGACGAACTGTCTCTTCCGTCGTACACCTACGGGGAAGTCGTCACGTTCGTATGTTAGCAATGCCAATAGGACGTCCAAATCTTCAAAGATGTGACTTTGTGTGGCACTTGGGAAAGGCTGACGGTTCAGTGAAAGCCAAATGCATGACATTGAGAAACTGTCTTTTTCCTTTAAGTTTTACCTTTACCGTCCACATTAAAGAGAAAAGAGCTCATTTGTGGTCCCTTCATTCTACCCTGATCACTTTGGGCATTCTTCCTATTTTACTTAAATTAAAGAAATATTTATTTGCATTTCCGAGGTTCCATTATTTCCCTCTGTCCCCCTCCCTCAAAATCTACTTCCCAAGCCTGAAGGGACCTATGCTATTTTAGGGATGATGTGGTCTTTGAACGATCCTGTAAGTCACCAGATATCTCCTCTCTCCCTGCGCTCTCCTACCCAAGTGTAATACAAGACAAGACAGGACGTGGGGATCCAGTCACATTCTGCGGCCTTTGAGCTGGAGGCGACTTGAGTCTTGAATTAGTTGAAATAAAAGAATCCCATCATGTAATAGTGTCACAGACACACATGGCCTTGCTCTGAAACACGTTGTACTTGACTCTGCCTTCCTAGGTGGTTGTGAGCAGGCATGCTTACACAAATATTTGGAAGGCAGTTAGACAGGCTCGCTTTCTGACGGACGTGAGGGGCAAGGGAGGGGCCATTCTGGGCAGTGCCCGGAGTTTCCCCACGGCAGACCGCCCCGGGCGTGGATGACCACCAGTCACACTTCCTCAGTGGGGGCTGTGTGAGTTTAGGGCGTGGCCGTGTGTGCTTCCCGCTAAGGCCAGATTTGACCGTGTTTGCTTTCAGGAAGGATTCAGCGCTGAGGGTCCCCGACGCCCCTAGGAAGCTATCAAGACTAGACCGTGTAGTGGGATAGTTAATCCGTTCGCCTCGTTGAACTACTGCAGTAGTTCATAGCAAGGAACCACACTGGTGCAGACGAGGGACTCCTGGAAGATAGCGTGCATGTGTACCACATGGGAAAACATCCCGTTTTTCTTGATTTAAAAAAATTTTAATTAAATAAAGGGCACGGAAGACTCAGCAGACTCCTTTAATACCTATTTAGTTCCCCACTGTCCTCCTTCTCACACGGATTAATTCTTACTTGTCTTCCCTTAGCTCGCTTCTAGTCTGTGTATAACCATACCCCCTGTCAACAGACTCACACACATACAGAATCCGAAAAGAAGACAATGCGTTTGGAAAAATCAACTTCGTAAGTTGCCACTTCATTTTCCCAGTTAAACCAGCAGACGCTAGAAGAGTGGAGTCGGGTGACTTACAATCCGTCCAGCCACTGGCGCGCTCTGGAAAGAGCATCGCCCGCCTGGCTTAATATGGGGATGCGCCGGACAAGGTCGGTGACACCCAGACTTTAATGAGTTTTAAACCCAGAGGAATCCGGCTCAGAAAGAAAATGTCCAGGCCTTCCTGGAAAGGTCTCACAGCACTCCACGTACCACACAATTCTCTGCAAGCCGCAGAAACCCACAGAACTGAGGAGCATTTGAGCAAGAAAACACTCCTGTGATTTCTGTCCTTGGAGATCTGAAGCGTTGTCCCGAGTCACCTCCGCGGGCTTGGCCGGGAGCTCGGCACAGATGACAAAGGTCATTTGGACCGCAGCCAGCTCCCAGCATCCTCCAAACTACAACACTAAAAAGTTCAGTCGTGTCTGGCAATGAGCCGGCGGAAACGTCAGGAGGACGGAGTCACCCGCTACACCGAGCCTCCTTTTCTCAGCTCCCCCAAGGTGGAAATCTGGATTCAAGTTTTGCTTCGATCACACATGTCAACCCAGATAGTACTGGAAGTCAGAAGGCTTGGTTTTTAATTGCAATTAAATTAGGAACAAGTCATTAGTGTTCAGCATACCGCCTGTCACTTACATGCCCTGGTCTACATGCCCCCCGAATCAAAGCTTTCCTCTTAGGTATTAGAAAAATGCTCCTTGAGTCATATGTTAATACAGGACTGTAACTATTTACATCACAAATGCTTAGCTCCAAGCAGACTAGCCCCGTTAGCAGATGCTCAAGAATTAGGAGACCTCATGGTGAGACCTGCAGCCCCAAGGCTAAAGATACCTAGGAGCCCTTCCTAGTGTGACAGTGGCCATACCCCAAATATCCCAAGTTCACTTCACTTTCCATTACATAGTCCTTCATGACATTTTCATTCAAGCTATATTTCCTTTCCACGATTTTTCTTTCCATACGAAGCGAGAAAACAGCACCTTTTTGTGCATGGGAATATGTCTATAAAATTTTGGTCTTTCTTATCGGATCACACAGCGTGAACAGCGTCCGAAGCTAAACAGTAAGACAATCCCACTTGAACTGTTTTCAACACTGAGGTATTTATTCTCATATTCAATAAAATACATGCTCGCAAGACACTTAGGTATTTCAGATGATTGATGGTTTCTCTGCATTAAGTGGGATAAGCCAGGTTTTTGTTTTTGCTTTTTGTTATAACCAGCAGCTTTAAACTGCAGATATCACGGATGAACATCACCCCCCTCCCACGGCAGTAATATCCTCCAAAGCGCAGTATCTCCAAATCATTCACCTGCACCAACTGCACTTAACTGTTACCTGAAAGTTTTCTCTAAAGGCTTGCTGACTTCTAAATTTAAGGTTATCAAAGAACTCAGAAAATGGTTACTTACGAAACAAGTCTGTGTGTTTGTTTGTTTTTAGATCAGTGAGAACGTACTAGTTTCCTGTCTGAAAATCACTTCTTCATTACAGAGCTTCACGATGTCAGCATGAGTTTTGGAAGGACGGTTACGACAGAAGGACGACTAGAATAAAGCCACTCTGCTCAACGATGACACTGAACTAGTTGAGCTGGGCTTAGGAGGGAGGAAGCCTCCCCCCCAGGCTTTAAGTATCTCTTGAGCTTGCACGAAAAAGCTCATGAAGTCAGATGGGGTCCTGGAGGGGTCCCTCTTTAACCATGTTGCAAAAGGATGACAAATGGGGGTGGTTATTGATGTTTCCCTTTTGGGGGCTCTTTGAATCTGTTTCTACTGCCCGCAGCTTAAGCTGCGTGGACTCCCCTGACCTTGAGAGGTGTCGGCATGTGAGTCCATGTAGAGGTCAACATAAGTGGAAAACCCAAGAACTTCACAAAGGGATGAGAAGGGACAAGTGTCTCTCTCTCAGCACAGCTCAGTTGTGTGACTTGGGCCAGTTGCTTGTTCCTCACTGCACCGCACAGGGAGATAGATCAGGTAGTATCTGGCATTTGTTGGATGCCCCTCTTGGTGAGTGCTTGCTCTCCAAATGTCTCCTCCCTGGCCCCAGACCCTGAAAGGGCCTCGGTTTTCTTGAAGTTATAGGAGAGGTGGGGGACTATACCAGAAGGTTTAGAAGCTATGGGGGCTTTCCAGTTAGAGCTGGGGTTTCATAGACCAAACCTAGACCTGAATGTCCCCAGAATCCTCTTCTCCTGCCTTTTCTTCCTGGAATCCATCTACAGCGTGGGAGGTGTGCTGGGTCCTGCTCCCTAGAGGGTCTTCTGGAGGCTCTGGTACTTGTATCCTGTTATGCACAGAACCCTTGCTTCTGGTCCCATTCCAAGCACAGCCCTGAGTCCTGTAAACATAGCACGGACTCGTCCACTAACATTGTGTCTCGTCCTGGTGTGGCTTCTTCGTGTGAGTGCTGCTTTGTGCTCTAGGCATGGTGGCTGAACTTGCTTCCACTATCACATCTAAATCCTTCTCATTTTGGATGTCGTGAGCACATTTAAAAATCGAGAATGACTACAGACAATGTAGCTTTAATAATTACAACCGTGGGCTCGGCACTGTCCCAGAAACATCTACAACAGTGTACTATTCAAACCTCAGAACATCCTCCGAAGATAGGTATCATCATATGTTTTACACACAAGGAAGCTAAACCACAAATATCAAATCCTGTGTCCAAGACATGTAGCTCACAAAGGTTCGACCCAGAATTCCAGACTAAGATGGCTCAGAGCCTGGGCTGCGGACCCTGAGGAACACCTTCACAGACCAACCGGGTAAATAAGCTGGAAACATTGTGTATCTTTAACGGTATGTTAACATGTATACATCTCTATGTGTACAGATGGACACTTATTTAATCAGGTCCTTGAGAAGAGATGGAGTCCCCTTCAAGACTTTTTTTTACCTTTAGAATGTCTCCTTCAAACAGTTGGAAGCTTTGCGCCCTGAGATGAATCCCCTTGCCGGCTTCCGTCTCTATTTTATAGATACACTCGTGGTTATTATCATAATTCGATGGGAAATTTGGAGACAGCAACGTTCCTTCATTTCCTTTGACACTTGCTCCACATTCAGCTAAAATAAATAGGACATTAGAAAAGAAAGAATTCAAAAGTGGAATTACTGATTTTAATACAGAACAATTCTACAATCATGACAGCCCTCTCCTATCTCAATGTATGTTTCTTTCTCATTAATACATTGTTCTTTAGATTCGTGACTTTTTTTTTTTAACTATTTACCAACTAGACAGGAAATATCCTCCACTCGTCCATTTCCAAGATTTCTTGTTTCTTTTCACAGAATACCTCTTGCCCACCACGGAAGCAGCCTGCAATCGCACGGAGAGATCTAGAATAAAGTCACTGCCCAAGCTCACTGGCTGTGTCACAGGGCAGTCACAGCCCACCCTCTCCACGTCTCATTTCTACCTCGTGAAACATCCCCACCGATTCCAGTGTGACGGATCCATTGTACCCAAGTAATTTCCTGACTTTCATATTTTGTGGCATCAACCTGTACACGTGGAAAGGCGACCTATGATAGAGAAAACCACTCCTATGTCACAGCCCTGAGCCTGTCTGCATTATGTCCCAGAACAAAAGACCATTCGTTGGAGGTACATGTTAACTTCTTCTCCCCTTCTCCTGAGGAAAGCAGAAGGTCATTCACTTCTAGATCCAAACTTGCATAGAATAGCTTAAATCCAGGTAAAAAAATAAAAATAAACATAGCTCTCCACTTTCTGTCAACTCAGAGAAAATCACTTAAGCTCCCAGCTCACCTTGAAAGTGAACAGTTTAGCTGAAATTCTCGAGCTTTAAAATCCAATCAGTCCAAAATGATCATAAAATAACAGAGATTCTGTATGTGTGTGTGTGTGTGTGTGTGTGTGAGTTAAAAGAGCTCCATGGGATTCAGCACCAAATAATTTATTGGCATACTGTGTGCCAAGTACAGTGATTTTTTAAAAAATTTAATTTTATTTTTTCAGTGTTCCAAAATGCATTGTTTAAGCACCACACCCAGTGCTCCAAGTGCAGTGATTTTTTTTAAAAAATCAACAACGTAAGTATGAGTGTGAAGAATAATGGTCACGTGGGAAAGTGAACATATGCAGTGGGGGTGGGGAGGGTGAGAGGTGTTCGTTTTGTGCGGTGTTCTGTAACTTGGGTGGACATCGTGTGTGTACCCATTTTCATAATTGTGATTTTCTCTGACATCTCCATCCTCTTCTAACAATTAATACAATCAGCCACACCTCCAGCATGATCCCCTACCCTCCGTGCCAGAAGAAATTTAAGATTTAAGATCAGCTTCTGTGCACTTGGGTCTCATAAAGGCCCCCATAGAAGGGTAGGGAGAAATTCAAGGAGGAAAACACACAAGAGCTCCGGCTCACCTCTCCCTTATCTCTCCTTAACTGAAGACACAAAGGTAGGCTTTGCTGGACAGTGGGGGAGAATGGTGACCCAACACAATGGAAGTGGGGTTTCACAATATTTTTTAAAACTATAGATATATTTGTATTATTATATTTACATATAATCATATATATATATTTAATTATAATAATCTTTTAAAAATTTTTTAAGAAAAGAAAAAAGATGGGGAGAAAGCACGTGGTGTATCTTTCATGCGGGATATGAAAATGGATGTTCAGTCTCAGCACTGTGCCTTCGTGGTCTCTGAATGGTGGGAAGTCATATTTTTTTTTAAATTTTTTTTTCCCTTAAGTAGGGTCCATGCCCAGCACAGTCCACAATGCAGGGCTTGAGCTCAGGATCCAGACATCAAGACCTGAGCTCAGATCAAGAGTCAGATGCTCAACTGACTGAGCCACCCAGGCGTCCCAAAGACATGTGGGGTTTATACGTTAAATTCAACAAGCATTTCGGGTATGTAATCCCCCTGGGAAATAGTAATAATACATGGGCCTTGTTGTATACTTTTTGTCTTTTTTAATTCTAAAAGTAATAAGATTTTTTTAACATAGAATTCAAAATAAACAGAAAGAACATGAAAACACCAAAGTAGAGTATCCTTCTTTGGCTGCTTTGTGGATGGAATAGTTGGGGGGGGGGTTCAAACTTGGTAAAGGTATCAGACTTACAAAGAATTAAAAAAAGAAACTCAATTGAATTCTGATAACTGGAATATAAAACCTAGTCACACATATCAAGAATTGTTATTTAAAATTGAATCTGACAGTGATCAATAAAATGAGCCTCTCAAAAATCAAATTTAAGTCCTTCTATCCATTACTTTATAAATTTGGGGGGGGGAGTCTTTCAGTGGAAGATGGGAAAATACTGATATAGTGGCAAATAGATTATTTTTAGTCTCAGGAGAACATCTGAAGAAGCCCTTTTTCTGGCTGTGATAACCAGCTGGGTGTACTCGGGTTCAGCATGTGTTCACACGTATCAAGTCCATTAGCTCTGTGTGCGTTGCACGTCCTCTGCTAATACAGGCAGTCCCGAGTCAAACCTCCCTGGGCGTGGACTGGAGGTGAACAGGATAATGAGGGTCCTGGCCCCCCCCCCCTCCGGTCACCATCTGGTCATCAGGAGAGGCCGTGGTCTTCCTTCTTGACTGAATGAGGTCAGGAGGACGGAGGGAGGGTTGGAACACGGAAGGGGCAATTAATTGAACACAGTGGTAAGTCTTGAACCCAAAGTGTGGAATGAGAGTTTTGCCACTGTCAGGTAACCGTGGAGATATATAAGCGCAGTCGTAGCTTGTCTTCGGGGGCATTCCAGGAGGAAAGCAAAGCCCAGGAGAATCGACTGGCTGGGTTTCACCCATCCCTCAAGGCAGGGCTGCGTTGCTGTCTCCAACTACTAGCTCTTTCTGGGGCTCCGCATTTGTGGCGAGCAGGGTTTGTTCTCTTGTGCTCACTACGGCTGGAAACCCTTTCTTTGGTCTCACATCACTATGCTTCTGCTCTTCTCTTTCCCTCCACAGATCTGCCACATGGGGAATCAGACAGACTTGGCAGAAGTACCATTTTTCAAAGGTGACACTCTATCATGACAAGGCTGATGTGTGGATTCTAATACCTGTAGTGTGTATCACACGCTTTTTTTAAGTTCTTCATCTACAGGGACCCATGGAATCCTCATGGTAACCTTGTCTAACAGGTTCACATAACTGCGTTATATAGGTGAGGAAACGGAAACAGAATGGTTTGAAAACCAGGGGCTTTCCCCAAGGTCACACAACTAGTGCAGATCAATTATTGATTTGATATAAACTCTCTGTACTTACGAATAGAATCATGCCCTTTTCTTATCCTAATTAATGATGAAACACTTCACAGTTAATTATTCATAGTAGTATTAATTATGAGCCACAGTGACACTTAGATGGCATGGATTGGCCATAGATAGGAGTATATCTGTAGAGACTTTTATTTGGAGCAACAGGTGATCAATTAAGTGGAGGTATTTGTTTTCACATTAGCATTTAAGACATTAACCACACATGTACTTGTTTCACATGATAAGGGAGGACTAGAAAGGGCACTTTGGCATTTGAGACATGAGAAGGGAAAAAAAACTATTAAATCTAAAGATATAATTTTATAATTTTACATATCTTTTATAGAAGGCTCCACACCCAGCATGGAGCCCAATGTAAGGCTTGAACTCAGGACCCTGAGATCAAGACCTGAGCTGAGATCGAGAGACGCCTAACCAACTGAGCCACCCAGGAGCTCCGCCTGCATATCCTTTTATTAGGATTTGGATGCTGGAATGTTGTTTTAAGGCAGATATATAAGTGGTGCAAATTAAGTGCACTCTACGAGGATAACAGATGGGAGGAATTACTTGGCCGTGGGGACTGGTAACCCTTTGCAGACGAGCGAGGTTGTTGAAAGACGGCGCGGAGGCCGACACCACCACACTCCTGCATGTCACTTCTTCCTCCCCCTGAAAAATAACATCCCCCTAGTTTCAGAGCAACTGTTTCTCCGCCCAAGACACGAGGGAAATTTCTAAGCAAACATCCAACAATAATTCCTTTATTTTATATACATCTGTAACTGAATCGAAATCAACATGGCCAGGGACAGACTTTCATTTCTCTAGAGGAGTTCGGTGTAGCACCTAAAGACGGTCTTTCAAGTGAGTTTTTCTCTGAGGGTATGAAATTGACAGTAGAACATACAAACTTGGTATCTTAATATTTTAAAAATCTATTTCAGGGCAGTGTTTCATTTTATATATTTACGTACAATGAACTATTTTTATATATACTTGTATTGTTTTACATTCTTCAAAGACTTTCAAACAGACTGTCATATAATCATATTTTTTTTCCTCTTTAAAACATGACTTTTACCTTTTTCTTCAAGTTTCAATGTTGTGTGTTTTGGTTGACACTATTGCAGTGAACACGTGTGGACGTTGCTATTGTTTTCTGATTTTTATGTCAAGACCAATAAGAAAACATGACATCTTAAAGGTGGAACGTGATTTGCCTTTTTATTTTGAGAGCCTTGGTTCATTATTCAATTTGGTGCTGTAACACGGTTGGCAACAGCAAAGGTCTAGTGAGAGACGCGGGTGGGGACATGGCGCTAGAACACATGGACAGTCTGGGTGTGAGACAGACAGGCTGTTTATGGGGTTCATGGACATGAATGAGGTAGGGGTCATCTAAGACAACTGTGGGCAGTCTGGCTGCAAACAGACTTGGCCAGATCCCCGGGACTGTGTCGGCTTCATGGAACCAAGGTCAGAGGCTCTGAACAGTGCGGAGCACATGGGTGTCCTGAGGAAGGGCACTTTGGGGAAGAAGAAATGGCCTAAGAGAAAGCAATGAGACTTAAAGACTCTAGAATAAAACAGAAAGGAGGCAGTGTTGTGAGGGTGGCCTTGTAACGCAAATTCTAGATTTCCTGATCCAGACCGACACCCTGGAAAATCAAAGTAAGTAATGGCAGAGCAAATAAAATGTCATGGCTCTCTCCCCACTAAACCCTGGGACCCTATCCCATAGGAAATAATTAAGGAAAATAAGACACTAACCGTAAAAAGCCAGAGGTCAGAATATTACAAAATTTAAAT